TGAAAGGCAAGTAACAGCCCTGACAACAGCCCCCTTGTTTCCGTGAACACAGAAACAGCCAGGTACATTTTCAGATGCCTTCGCCAGAAGCAACCCCTTCCCCATGCAGCAGAATGAGCTGCTGCAGGGATGGTAGCACTGCCCTTCTTTTCCCTGCTCCTTCCCACTGCATGAGTGGTACCGCTAACTCGGGTATGGACAATGCAATTTTATTCACAGCAGCCAGGAATATTTCCTTCCAAAAAGCCACATCCCACCACGCTAGAAGACCTTAAATAATATATTCTGCAAATAAACCATGAAGCAGCCTGGCAGCCATGTGAAGTGAAACCAAGCAAGTGAAAACACCCCACCCTTTGGCCCCAAATGTCACTTCATCACAAATACTGGTCATAAGGCCAGACCTCATTTTCCTAGAAGTGGAGGTCTAATGCTATGGGACTATTTGGATGAATAATTTTCATTCACATGTCATAGAATCATAGAATAGTTTGGGTTGGAAGCGACTTTTAAAGGCCGTCTAGTCCAGTCCCCCTGCAATGAACAGGGACATCTTCAACTCGATCAGGTTGCTCAGAGCCCCGTCCAACCTGATCTTGAACGTCTCCAGGGATGGGGCATCTACCATCTCTCTGGGCAATATGGGCCAGTGTTTCACCACCCTCAATGTAAAAAGTTTCTTCCTTATATCTAGTCTAAATCTACCGTCTTTTAGTTTAAAACCATTACCCCTTGTCCTATCACAACAGGCCCTGTTAAATGTCTGTTCCCATCTTTCCTGTAGGCCCCCTTTAAGTACTAGAAGGCCTCAATATGGTCTCCCAGGAGCCTTCTCTTCCCCAGAATGAATAACCCCAAATCTCTCAGTGTGTCCTTATAGGAGAGGTGTTCCATCTCTCTGATCATTTTTGTGTCCGTCCTCTGGACCTGCTTCAACAGGTCCATGTCTTTCCTGTGCTGAGGGCTCCAGAGCTGGACACAGTACTCCAGGTGGAGTCTCACCAGAGCAGAGTAGATAGAAGGGCAGAATCACCTCCCTCGGCCTGCTGGCCACGCTGCTTTTGATGCAGCCCAGACTGTGGTTGGCTTTCTGGGCTGAGAATGCATTTTACTGGCTCATTTCTAGCTTTTCATCCACCGGTACCCCCAAGTCCTTCTCAGCAGGGCTGCTCTCAATCCCTTCATCCCCCAGCCTGTACTGATACCGGGGGTTGCCCTGACCCAGGTACAGGACCCCACATTTGGTCTTGTGAAAGCTCATGAGGTGCACACAGCCCCACTTCTCAAGCTTGTCCATGTCCCTCTGGATGGCATCCCGTCCCTCAGGCATGTCAACCACAGCACTCAGCAACAGGGTTATGCAGCAACAGGGTTAATGGGAAGGGGAGGGCAGACTCAGCTTGGTAGACAGACAGCTCTCTGGCAAGGGCTCTGCCTGTGTTTCGTCCAAGCATATCACATGGGTCTCCCCGTGATAGGAAAGTCACAGCCTTATAATAAATAGCTCCAGTGTAGTCACCGTCGTCTCAGTTACAGCATAACGAAACCACCATGCTGTCTAAAGTCAGTTCCTGAGAGTGAACACACAGTCATTTCTCCCCCGAAATGAAGTTTAAGCAATCTCAGGACTTCTCATGCCTCATCTTTTAAGTACAAATATAGTAAAAAGTCACAAATTATTGAATTGGCAAAGCAATTGAGAGTAAAACATGGCCACGAGCAATGCTTTCTTTAAGACTGGCAGAAACCTCAGAATCACTTTGAAGACGAGCTGGAAAATGAACTGTGAAAAGGGAGCACAGTCAGGATGCACCTGGGAATTACTTACTGCAGAAATGACGCTGTCTCGGAAAGGCTTACCCAAAGCAACATGTGTTAGGAAATAGGTTGCAATGAGTACTTGAGGCCACATCATGCCTGGGTTTACCCAGAAGTAGATGGGTCGGGGCACCTTCACCATCTACTATAGATTAGGGTAAGTATTTTCAGTAAGCTACTCATGTCCAACAAACGAGGGAGTTTTGGGAGACACCAAAGTATTTCACATGTTCTGGTTGAAGATAAGTTCTGGCTGAAAAAAAAAAATATGGTGGAAAAAGTGTAGAAATCTTAGAAGATTTATTTTTACCATCTAAGAAAAAAATGCTTTGATTTTGTGTTCTGAAGTGGTGTATTCCCTTTGAACTTGACCTGAATTCAAAAAATGAATGAAAACTCTAAAAGTAGGGTTAGACAGCCCTGAAAATTAATGGACAGCTTTTATTTTGGCTGGGGGGGGGAAGGAGGGGGAAGGAGGAAAAAAAACCCAGACTTTTGGCTGTCCTGAAAGTCACTAGTTTTTAATTTAGCTGAAAAAGAAACAACCCTCCCCCACAAAAAAATCTGTTTCAGGTTGAGCTGAAGTGAGATATTTGTGCTTTTTTTTTTTTTTTTCCAGTTTCACTACAAGAAAGAGAATCAGAAATTTAGACTTCTGTACTGAAAGTCACAAGATTTTTTTAAATTTTTTTTTTATTTTAAGAGAATGCATTGAAACTTCATGTTTAAATCAAAGTGGGGTCTGAGAGCAGAATGCAGTGTGGCTTTGCTTGGGGGTGATGCGCAAGCCCTCAGGTAGGAGCCCCCTTAGAGGCATCCTGCCCACCCAGCCCTGTCTTGCAGGACTCTTCGTCAGCCTGGCTGCTGCAGGAGCACAGCCCCCACACCAATGCCAGGATTTAGGATTGATCTTCCCACCTGTTCCTCAGCACCTCCTCAAGGTGCTGAGTCCTCCTCTTTTTTTTTTTATTGAGAGGAAATAGGGTCGGGAGGCACCTCACAACCAGCCTCAACACTCATTGTGTCCATGAGCAACCTCATCCTTTCATCCACTGGGCTTGATTTGGGGTATTCCCCCCTCTGGAAACTGCCAGTTCAGATCAGCTCCCTGGAGGAACTTCACCCCAGGGCAAGGGGAACCAGGACCTGAGCTTGCCATCTTCCCTTCTCATGATTCCAGGAAAGCCCAGCTAGGAAATGTGGGGACCAGAAAAGTGTCTGGGGGCTGCAAGAAAAAACAAAAGCAATGGGAAATCTGAGACAAGGGAGATGTCAAAGGATGTGATGCCCGGAATACGTGGGACTCATGGCAAAAAGAAGGGTTACACCATAAAATGAGGATATCATTTACGCAATAGTTAAACACATCGTTCAGTGGCATTTCTTTTTCACCAGAAAATGTGACAGTCGATGGAGTGAGAAGTGATAAATCAGATAGAACCTCATTGCCACAGCACTTGACACATCCTCCGAAACCTAAATGCCCCCACTGCAAAAGTGGGTGCCTGCCTGAGGGGCCTCTCCAGATGTGGAACTTGGATAATGAGGTGAAGTCTCAGTGCTTAAAGAATACTTAAGACTGGCCTCGCTATCTCTTGTTCAACCCAGGGGAGTGGAGACTCGCCTGGCTGTAACGGGATGCAGATAAGGAGGGAGCCCTGTGTGGGCAGGACAGTTCTGCTTTTCGTCAGCAAAGGCAAGATAAGAGACACCGGGTAGTTATTTGTTTCTTCCAAAGTCTATCATGCCCGATGACTGACCTCTGCCTCATTATCTGCAAAATGCATATTAAAGTTGACATCCCTGCATATGCTTATGAAGATTATAGAGATCATGCTGAACATATATGACTATAGCACTCATCTCTCCACCCAAATCACACTACACATCACCTGTGTGTGGGGGAGCCTCGTAAGTTTTGGGATAAAAGAAGGAGGAAACAACTGTTAAATTGGGAGAGAAGAATCTCAATACCTGATGGACCAGTCAATGGCTGCGTTCTCTTCTTCCTCCCCAGGCAAGGACAACTTTATTAATATTAACCCTAATTAGTAGCGCTATTATAGTCAGTGAATTTATCAATGGCAATCTCAAATCTGTTCTGTCGCTCTCAATAAAATAAATAATTTTGATTTTTGTGAATCTGACTCAGTGAAAGTCCTTTGCTGGGACTCTGATAGATAAACCAGTGAAAGTCCTGGGACTCTGACAGACAAACATTGAAACTACATTCCTTTTAACACGACACAAGGGCACCAGGGAAGGGCTGAAATCCCTAAATTCAACACCAAGGGTTCTGTTAGCCGCAGGCACCAAGGTGCAGGCACTGTGTATTCAAAGGAAGCCACAGGAAGACTATTTTTCCTGAGGAGGGGGAAAGATACTCATAATGAAACTGGGATTTGACTGGGGTCCCTGCAGCCAGAACCTCCTCTTTAGCAGCTCAGCAGCACAGGCCACGAGCAAATCATTTAATCAATGTCTTGTTCAAGATAACATAAAAGGGGCTTTAATTAGGCAAAATGTCAGGATACGCCTTCTTCCCTTCTGTGTTTTTCAAACAGGGTACCCGCTGGCTTTCATGATGCTTAGATAGGGCTCTTCGGACCACCCTGCTCAAGGATACACAGGGGCTGCTCCTTCCCAGTGACCCGCGGCCACCCCTGTGCTTTACAGACCAGTTTTACATCACTGGCCACGACAGGGGCTGTTTTCATACACATGGGACTAATCATTTTCCTTTTAATCCTTCTAATTATTCAATGTCTAACAGTAG